CACTGTTTTCTGCACTTGTATGACATAAACACCGCCGCTGTGTCTTCCTACCAGGAAGAGCACAGTGACACTCTGCTTAAAGAAATTCACATTACTCATTTTGTAAAACAGCACAGCGGCAGAAGCAAGGGTAGCATGGCCACACAGCGGGACTTCACTTGCCGGGGTAAACCACCTGAGTCCAAAGCAGGAACCTGCCAGAGGGGAAAAGGCAGAGAGAGACAAGAATCACTGCCAGGCAAACACGTTGCAAACTTCTCAGATTCTTCTTCTTTCCCAAACATTATGCTGACACAATTAAGAACAGAAGTCTGTTATAAACTATAATGCAGTCCAGACAAGCATTCTGGAGTTCCCTGGCTCTAAATTAACCTGAAACATTCATGTTCACTAACCTTCCAGGTCTGCTTAGTATTGCTATAACAGAATACCACAGATTGGGTCATTTATTAAGAAGAGAAGGGTATTGGCTGTATTCTGGAGCTTGGGAATCCAACTTGACAGGACTCGCACCTGGAGAGGGGCTTTCAGCTGCATCATTTCATGACAGAAGGCAGAAGTGCCAGAGAGCGTGCCTGTGTGAGCAAATGAACAAGAGGGGCCTGAGCTTGCTCCCCTAAGCAGCTCACTCTTGGCTGGAATTGTGGCTTTGTATATGGAACTATGTTCAATTCCCTGGGACTTTTAACTTTTACACCTTTTCCTGAGTGTGGTAGTACATGCTTTAGTCTCAGAATTCAGAAATAGAAGCAAGAGGATCAAGAGTCCAAAGCCAGCCTGGGCTACCACGTTTGGTAGATTGGACAATAAACGCTATAGAGCTTCAATGAGGTCTTGACATGGATCTAGAAAAGAGGGCAGATTTTGCTGAGTTGCCCAAGAAAATGTGGGGGTGGGGAGAAGGGAGGACAGGAAAGAGAGAGCAATAGAGAGGAACATTTGGGTTGAAATATACTATATGTGAAACAGAAATGAAGCCCACTCGAGATAAAGAACAAACTTCCACGCCGATCCATCACCACTTCTCAGGCCTCGCTTTCCAGCACTCTTAGAATGTATTTTCCAGTGCAAGTGTAAACTATAAACTTAAACTCTAGAAATTTAAACATACCCTCTCCCAGATGATCCAAAAAAAACAACTCCCAGTGTACTATTTCCTGCAAATAATAAATAAACATTTCCTTTAGATATCACTCCCCCACCTAAAAAAAGTAACTTCAGTACCATTCAACTATTGTTGTAAAAATGCTTATTTACTTTGGGCAAAGTTGTCTGTTGGACTCAATCTTCGGATAAAAGCGGTTTCAGACAGGTTCATTTCCTTTGCAATATTTTGGTATGTATCATTCTCTAGTTCCTTCATGAAAAACACAAAGAATAAAACATTATATCTGTAAAGAAAACCCAAGTTACATACTTAGTAGATATGTGTTTGTTTTGTGTTCTCTAAGTGCTAGGAATGGAATCCAGTTTCTTGTACATGCTAACAACACCCTTCCATTTTGATATGTTTTTATTTTTTAGGACAGGGTCTCACTATGTAGCCTAGCCTGGCCTTGAACTCACTCTGTCGCCAAAGCTAACTCTGAACTCACAATCTTCCTGTCTCAGCCTCTCCAGTGCTGGGATTCCAGGTGTGCAACACCACACTTGATGGAGATATATAGTTTGACAATAAGTGCTATAGAGTTTTGATAAGGCCTTGCCATGGATCTAGAAAAGAGGTCAGATTTTGCTGAGTTGCTCAAGAAAATGTGGGCACAGAACTTTGTGTTGGGACAATGTGATTGGTGAGTCATGAACTCACTTCTGTTCTCTTAGTGCATCAGGGATTAATGTATAATAACTTTGTTAATCTAGAATTCTGTTAACACATATGCAAACACAAATGCTGAGTCATGTCTGTTTGCTTTTCTGAATTTCAGTGTCTGGACACTGAGCTTCTATCACCCGATGACCCAAAAGATCCAAAAAGCAGAGTAAACTTTTATGTTTTTTATTTTTATTTTTTTTGGGGGGTCTGGTTGTAGGGCCTGAACTCTGGGCCTGGATGCTGGCCCTCAGCTCTTCAGCTCAAGGCTAGGGCTCTACCACTTGAGCCATAGCACCACTTCTGGCTTTTCTTTCTTTTTTTTTTTTTCTGCTTATGTGGTGCTGAGGAATCGAACCCCAGGACCTCATGTATGCAAGGCAAGTGCGCTACCACTGAGCCACCTTCCCAGCCCCCAGAGTAAACTTTTAAAATGCTTCCATCTTGTGGCAGTTTAGAAATATGGCAATATAAACATGACAGCCCTCTCAGTCTCTGTCCCTGAGCTGGAAAAGACTCAAGCAAAGGAAAAACAATTGATGTAAACAGTTCTAAGAACCAACTGGGAAGCAGCTGAATTTCCCATTAAGAAACTGCCCATTCAGTATGGTATTTAAACTCAGGATCAACTTTGGTTGTCCCCAATGATCTCCATGAGTGCTCACTCCCTTCTGCTCCTTCACAGAACCCAAAATCCATATCCACTTGTTTGTTGGTAGAGCTGGGGATTGAACCCAAGGTCTCAGCAATGGTGGGCAAGTACTCTACCACTAAGCCACTTCCTGAGCCTCCAGGCTTCTCATACCCAATCTACTCTACCTTAACTGGTAAGACCATAAAATCAATAATGGTTAGTTAAATAATAACTCCTAGAAAGGGATTTCGCCATAATTTATAATAGTAATTGATTATAATTTTTTCACATTCACTCTACCAACAGCTACTTAGTGTAGCATATGTGCTGGGCAGGGTAGGTTGGATCAAGCTGGAATTGGTTATGGTCACACAGAACTTACAGTCTAGTGAGGAAGACAGGCATTGAATGAATGCCTGTGTCACCAGCTGGGAAACAGGGTGCAGTGAATGTGGGGGTTTAGGGCAAGAGAGGATGAGCAATCAGCACAGCTGATCTGGGATCCCTGTAGTCCCTTTGTGTGCTCACCCCAGGCAAACTTTCCTGTCCAGGTCCCTTGGTCTGTAAAATCAGGGGCATGGATAGTAAAACCTACTGATAGAATGATCATGAAACCGTCTGAGTTTTAGGAAAACCCACAGGGTTTCTGGCTGAGTTTGCCTGCAATCCTTGTTCTCAAGCAGAAGGTTATGTCTAGAAGCCAGTGAGAAGGCAAGGGAAGCAGAAATTCCCACACCAACATCTCCTTTTCCTTTGGCTCCCTCTCTTCTCTGATCTAACCCCACATATACATATGTACAACCCCTCAACAACACAGAAGGAAAATCCCTGAGAGCTGTCTGGAATATGAATGAGTCTCCATGTGTGCTCTCTACCTCTGTCAATGTTGTTTCAATAGGTGGTAAAGGTAGTTTATCAATCAATCAATCAATAAAATGCTGCTCCTTAACACTACATAGCTCTCTGACCTAATTCTAATAGTAACCATGGTTGGCACAGTTTCTTAGCAACTGTCATGATGACAAATTTCACTTTTCACATTGTTTCTATATATATTTCCATCGTTCTATGTGACCTTCATTATCCAATAGATGGTGAAGCACCATTTTTAAAATTTTTCTTTCCTCAAAAATCTACTCCATCTTCCACTTAGCCCTTAAGCTGCTCTTCTACAGTTTCCTATGTGCAATATTTTAAAAATAAGCTTGCCTTGAAAACAAAATGCCTTTTGGGCTAGGACCATACGTAACTCAAGAGGCAAAGTACTTCCCGAGCACGTTCAAAGCACTGGAGTCAATCTCCAGTATTTGAAATAACAAAACACCTTTAGATTTGTATTGAAGGTCTTTGAACTTTATCACTCAGAATCTTCTTTCTTTCTAGCAGTCTTTCACTAAGTGGTCAGAAAGTTCAAAATACAATTAGTCTACCCTTCACTCTATACACCAAGTTGTTCTGTGCTTAGTCTCATCTCAATTAAATCTTTTCTTTTTTTTTTTCTTTTTTCTTTTTCTTTTTTTTACCAGTCCTGGGGCTTGAACTCAGGGCCTAGACACTATCCCTGAGCTTCTTTTGCTCAAGTCTAGCACTCTACCACTTGATCCACAGTGCCACTTCTGGCTTTTTCTGTTTATGTGGTACTGAGGAATCAAATCCAAGGCTTTGTGCATACTAGGTAAGCACTCTACTACTAAGCCACGTTCCCAGCCCTTTTCTTTTTTTTTGGCAGTTGTGGAGCTTGAACTCAGGACCTGGGCACTGTTCCTGAGCTCTTTTGCTCAAGGCTAGCTTCTAGTTTTTGAGTGGTTAATTGGAGAAAAGCATCTCACATGGACTTTTTTCCCCAGACTGGCTTGGTACCACAGTCCTCAGATTTGAGCCTCCTGACTAGCCAAGATTATAGGCTAGAGCCACTGGCACCCAGCCAAATCCCTAATTTAATTCACTTACTTGGAATTAAATTAGAACATAAAAGTTATACATCTTAATGTTGTATTTTGCAATTTTTCATTCAGATCATTTTTGTTGTTGTTGTTGGTAGTGGGGCTTGAACTTTGGGCTGAAGAGCTCAAGGAGAATACTCTACCACTTGAGCCACAGCACCTCTTCCCATTTTCTGGTGGTTTATTGGAGAGAAGACTTTCCTGCCCGAGCTGGCTTTGAACCGCGATCCTCAGATCTCAGCCTCTTGAGTAGCTAGGAATACAGGTGTGAGCCACTGGTACTCGGCAATAAGATCAAATTTTAGCCAAGTTAAAAGTAGGTAAAAAACAACAAAATTGCTAGTGAAGCATTGTACTTTAATTCCAAAGTTTTCCTCCATAAAACCACACATTGTTCCAGCCTGAGTCCCCACTCTTTCCAATGTGTCTAGGTCTTACCCTCAGTGTGGCTACTAAACAAGGTTTTCTTTTCTTCTTCTTCTTCTTCCTCCTCCTCCTCCTCTTTCCTCCCTTCCCCCCCCTCTTCCTTTTGTTAACTGTGGCATTTAATTCACAGCCTGGGTGCTGTCCCTGAGCTTTTTCAATCAAGGATAGTCCTCAATCACTTTGAGAACAATACCACTTTTGATTTTCTGGTGGCTAATTGGAGATAAGAGTCTCATGGACTTTGCTGCTGGGCTCAGCTTTGAACTGCAACTCTCAGATCTCAGCCTCCTAAGTAGCTAGGATTACAGGCGTGAGCCACCAGCGCCTGTCAAGGGTTTCTTAATTTTAAAGGCTGTCAGTTTGTTAGCCTTGTGTCTCTGGACCCTAGCCCAGAACCTGACTAATGATAGATATTGACAAATATTTGTAGAAGGTATTAATGGCAGGCTAATTCTCTACTAAATTGTGTCAATATTCTAATGTTTGCCCTTCATTTGTGATATTTTCCAGTGTGTGCTTGTGCTTTCTGTAAATATTTGGGAATATCTACTTTTTCTAGACACAAGGAAAATCCTAAGGGGAGAAATCATGACATACTTCTACTATAATTTATTGTGATTGACAATTGGGAAAAGTGGTACATTAGACTCCAGGAAGAGAAGCGTCTCATGTCCAAAGAGTTTTCTAAATTTCCTTTAGATATATATTTAGGTGTCTCTGAGAGGCCCTCAAATTAGCCTAGTCTCACAGGCTCAAGGCCCCAAAAAGTGAATTGGAAGATTTAAAAAGTTTCTGAATCATGTTCTCCCTTATCTTCCTTTCCCTTCTTCCATTACTACTGAAACATATTGCTTAACTTTTGATTTTCTAATTTTTCCATATATGCAAATAACATAAACTACATTTTAATGGAGAGATAGAAATACACATCGCTCCAGGCAGATCCCTCAAGTCTTACATTTAGTGTATATTTTGGAGATAAGTCAGGGAGCTGACTGCTAGCAGTGCACTCTCTATGCCTAACTACTCAGGAGGCTAAGATCTAAGGATCGTGGTTCAAAGCCAGTTTGGTCAGAAAAGCCCATGAGACTCTTATTTCCAGTTAACCACCAGAAAACTGGAAGTGGAGCTGTGGCTCAAAGTTGTAGAGTGTTAGCCTTGGGCAAAAACTCTCAGGAACTGGGCTGGGAAGGTGGCTCAGTGGTAAAGTGCTTGCCTCGCATGCATGAGTCCCTGGGTTTGATTCCTCAGGACCACATAAACAGAAAAAGCCAGAAGTGGCCCTGTGGCTCAAGTGGTAGAGTGCTAG